TCCGCAATAGGGGTCCCAGCACATTCATCCTCCATCTTACCTAACACCTTTTTATTTACTACGCTGTGCAGTGGATTATCTTTTGGGCAATCGCTTGTGTCGTACATATCTATTTTTTCTGCCATATCTTTATACACATCCTCGGTTTGTATTTCCATCAACAAAGAATCTGTGTTGGTATATAACACCTCACACCTATCGCCATATTGCTTCTTAAGTTCGTTGTAATATAAGTCATACATAAAGTGTTTTGACAAGTCAAGAATACTCATACCAACGTACACCGGTCTGTTGAATTTAAAATTACTTTTTTTGCATATGTAGTACGGCTTAGTCGTTATCAAATATCTTGCTTCTGTTAAAAGCCGGAATGGCTATAAGTTTCCTGAGTCTTTCTTCCTCATTACACTTGCCTAATTTAGACTGCCTCCGTGGTCTAGTGGTAGAGCGTCCGCCCGGAGAGCGGAAGGTGCGGGGTTCGATCCCCAGGCGCGTCATACCGTGGAATCCCCTTTCAGGGGTTTGTTACAAACATGACAACTCGTTGACTTCTTATAGGCCCTCCAATCATCCTTCGTCATACACATGGGTTACTTACACGATAAATTTTCCCTGATTAATCTCTCTTCATTTTGAAGATATTCTAGGAACTTTCCCGTTGCATCGGGACCTCTGCAAATCACGGGCGGGTTTGTTTTCCCATAATACCTTACAACTATATATCCAAACCCACAAGGAATATGTTCTTGAGTTTTGCATGTAAAACTATCTTGATTGCTTCGGACGTTATTTTCTATAGGTTTGATAAGTGCTTCGAAGGCAGCTTAAATTATGTACGGTACTGGCATTTGATTACAATAATGTTCAAATTTTAATATATTTTTTCCCTCTTTAGGCATATCAATCCTGATAGCAGTCTGTCGAACACCTCTACAGTCTTCTTTATGCGCTTCTAATAGATCTTGTCTGCTGTACCCATGTAGGCATCTTTCACAGAAATATTTCTTTCCTGCATGTTTTGTTTGATTGCATAATAGCCTGCTTAAACTCTTTATCCACGTATAATGATATTTACCATCTTTTTCGATCAGAAATGAATTGATTCTGGGAATATGTTCCGGGGCGGAGCTTATCCTGTGTACAACAATTCCTTTAGGCGAATGTCCCAAAACATTTATAGCTAAATTATTTTGCTTTTCTCCCATATCAATTTGTGAGATTGGTGTAGGTTCGTCTATACCATCAAGGTTTAGTGCGTTGTTTTGGGGATAGCTAGAAGGTCTATTTGCAATTTTAGAATCAACGGGGAACAATGCAGTCATCGCCTTTATTTTGTACATAATTATGGCTTTTTTCTTTTTATAATACGAGGGTATATAAGATTCTCCTTTGAAAGGCATATAATTTGCTATGTCTAAATATAAACAATCGATTTTATCCACACCCCAACCCGAACCTCTATTAGTCCAGCGTTCTAAAGTTTTTTGTATCCTCTGAATTGGTGTATCTAATGATGCGCTTATAGTATGGGATTCGGTTATAACTTCTTGATTGCTCCGGAAATAAGGTTCGGTATATTCAGTGCTATCGTCTGCGTTACTTTTACTCAATGACATTTTAACTGTCAGCTGGTATTTTATACTATTTAAATCATCTAACTCCTCGTTAATTTTGCTCGATACGATGGGCTTAACATCATTAACATCCATGTTGGAATAGATATTCATCTTCCAACCTCTTAGATATTTACCAACGCCAGCTGTGAGTACAAATTTTAACTCATTATTATCAACAACAATTGGTTTATTAACATCGCCAACTGATTTATTATTATCTAGTAAAGCGATCAATTCAGCTTTTCTCATTCAAGAATAACCTCTCAGCCCCCTTTTCTTCGCTTGAGCTTTGAGTTCTCTAACAGTCTGGGGTTTGTTGTATTCCAAACCGAGTAAATCAATCAATTCAGCTTTTCTCATTCGAGAATATCCATGTAGACCACGTTGTTTTGCGAAAGTCTTCCACTCTCTGACAAAAACCATTGTGATTATATGGTATATACAAAATGAGCCAAATGTCTAAATGGTTATATTTCCACATCTAAATACGTAATCTCCCCAACCCATTCCTTCTTGTTGATGTAATCTCTCTTCCTAGCATAAATAATCTGCTTCCTGACCCTATCAGCACCGTGACTCTTAACATAAACAGTAACTACCTTTGACCCCAATCCCACATTCAGTACAAACGTAATTTTTATATCTTTGTCTGATGTAATAAGTCTGGGTACCACAGTAAACACCCACACACCGTTGGTTACATTGAATTGGTTTCCCCATGAGTGTATATCTGCACGGATTCATGGTTATATACACCTATCATATCATTTGTCTAAAAGGCAAATCACATCTCCAGTGGTGAGTCATAGTTGTCATCGCTATTTATAGATTAGCTGAAAATAGACAACAGTCAGCCAGTCAGCTCATATAGCTGAACAGCCAGTCAGCGCTATTTATAGTTGAGTAGTCAGGGTTATTATTAATGGTTGATACGCAATAGAACATAGCTAAAAATAGCCTCGGTGGCACACCACCTAGTGATAAAAATTAGGGGTGACTATTGAGGCATTTTTGACTATTGCGATACTATTGCGATAGTTAAAACAACTATTGGGATACTATTGCGATATAAGCCCTACTATTGCGATAGTTTTCACTTACAATTATAGCAGGCCTTAGCAGCATATATTTCAGCATTTTGACTGACACCATCAAAATAAATATAACTTTCTGATACTATTTGTAAAGAAAACAAGAAATGAGAAAAAAACAAGTTCAAATTGACCTCTCAAAAACATTTTAATACAAAATTTCACTTCATGTAACTAGTAAAGTCTTAGGTTACTGCAGTGTTTTAGCACCAATGTGAATAAATGTGATTGAATGACTAGTATTTGACTATATAAACTGTCAAACTCTTTAATTGTCACATTGGCATTCACTGAATGACTAAATGCGATTCAACATATCAATTAGGAAACAAAGTTGACAAAGGGACGTAACTCTAAATCAAGCAGACAAAGTAGTGCAATCCAAACGAAAGTTTGTTGTTTCTATGTTTTTTAAGAAATTAAATGTACCAAACAAATTAACTATCGAAACTATCGATAGTTAGACAAACTATCCCCAATAGTATCGATTGTTTCAAGTTGCAATCGATAGTGTACTATCGTGAGACAAGCAATCGCAATCAATCGATAGTTCGATGTATCGTTACACCACTAATAAAAATGGTGTAAAAGAGTGGATAAAAAAGCATTTAAAAGCATTAGGAGAAGCACTGGGAAAGCTCGCTGGGAAAGCTGCGTCCGCACTTCCCGGTATAATTGGGAGTATTTTTTCCTGGCTCTTGAATTTATTAGCTAAGACCACCACTTGGCTTAGTCAAAACTTGTGGGCACTGATCGTAGCAATTCCCGGGTTGTTGTACGTATCCGCTTAAAGACTATTTAACCAAATCAGTTCATTAAGAACTATTTAACCAAATCATGAGTAAACTAGCCGCGACTCCACCTACTATAAGCGCTGTTTTATCATCGATATGTTGTTGTTTTTAAGTGGCAATATGTGGTGGCACTTGTGGTTGTGCGTCAGTAGATGGTTGTGAAACATGTGGTGACTGTGGCTTGACCATTCCCGTTTCGTCTGTGTTTGTTTGCGTTATTAATTCGTTGTTAATATCTGAATTTATACCTGTTTTTTGTTGATCGGTAGCAAAAACAATTTTATTATTATAGCCTATAACTTGACCGATCTTAAGTTCCATATTACTCAGAGACATGTATAGTCCCGGCGCATAAACGTAGTCTACTTTGGATTGAGCCTACTGTAATACATCTTGATAACGCTTATAGAAGATGGTATGTCAACTGGTGAATTAATAGCATCCTCTACTTTTGCGACAAACTGTTTTTGCGCATCGAGCGCTGTCCCAGAACCAATTATTCCCGTTCGTGTTTGTGATTGTGCACCAAGAATTGCCCATACATAAGTTCTTGTTGATTCATTAACTCTTACAACTCCTGGGCTAGTAAACTTATTTTCTGTTTTATCATACAGAAATTCATTGCAAGCGTTTGCGGTATCGTTTAGTTGCACAAATTTTGTAACAATATAAGCTAAACCACTCTTAAAACTCAGAAGATCTCCTCTCCAATCGTTACTCAAAAGTTCCCAGCCATGATTAAGATTATGCAATCTTACAAAAAGATTGTTTTTCTGTAACAGCTGAAATGGATCGAATGGTTAATGAGTTTTTAAAATAAAATATCACTTTCTTCTTTAACAGTTCTTTGTCCGCTGTACGGAACACCTAGACCATGGTTAAGTCCTTTAATACGCCAATCTTTACTCGTAGAAATATTAAATTCCTGACAAATACACTCATACGCGAACCTATTGTACAGATTATTTGTGGAATTCCAGGCTCGATCCTGGGCACTAATTTCTTAAAGAATACGTCTAATCTGATAGTACACGTGAAATAATAAATTAGACTTACTTAGTTCAAATCCGGGGGCATAAAGAGATACGCCACATCCTGTTGTGGTACACCATATGGCAAAGTTTAACTGGTTCTGCCAAAATTGCATCGGATTGTGGAACCAATCATGCACCATTTTATCGCCGTGACCCTGTATTTTTCTAAGATATCAGGGAATTTAACGAAAAAAACAGCACCAGAGGCACTAACTAAAATCGACAGATTACTAATGTAACTCAATTTCATATTTAAATTATGATATAGTATCTTTGTATATTTATATATATGTTACGCTCCCAGGAATAACAAATGGTCAGTCAATTCAACTGCTTCATACTATCCTTAACTCGGCTGGTCAACTTGAAGTCGCTATCAGCGATGTAACATATTACCCGCGCCGGACCAATATAAGTGCTGCGAGAGATAATAATAACATAGTACTATTTGATGATAACACTCACATTGTTATATCTGATGGGTGTAACAGCGTATGCTCACTCAATGATGAATTTTGTAAGCCTTTTGGAGCTAGTCTCACACAAAATGAGTCGAATGGGATGCTGATTTTAATCGCTGAAAAAAAGCAAATATTTCTTGATAAGAACATAGCAAATACACATGGATTTTATTGGCTAAACCCAATAATACCACCCAACGCAACACGGCATGGAGTTAAATTACCCGATTTAGTTCCCTATAAAGAGTTGTGTATCCATCTTGATCAGATAAGTACGACGGATAATATCCGTCTAGAAAGTCCTTCAACTATGCTTAGAGCTATTCCAGTCAAAGATGAAAAATATAATAGTGGTAGAAAGGAATCTTTCTCAAAATTACAATATAAAAAATTAAAGCGGGGTATTATTTCAGACTTCAAAATTTCTGTATTAGATTTAAAACATCAACCTGTACATATAGGATACTTGAGTGTAACACTCCATATTATAAGTAATGGTTGATTTCATATTTAAGTTATGATATAGTATCTTTGTATATTTAATATGTATGTTACACTCCCAGGAATAACAAATGGCCAGTCTATTCAACTGCTTCATACTATCGATAACTCGGATGGACAACTTGAAGTCGCTATCTGTGATGTAACGTATTACCTGCGGTGGACCAATATAAATACTGCCAGAGGTAATAATGCGGTTGTTTTAGATAGAAAACGTCGCTTTATATCTGATGGGTATTACAGCATATGCTCACTCAATGATGAAATTTTTAAGCCTTTTGGAGCTAGTCTCACACAAAATGAGTCGAATGGGATGCCGATTTTAAGCGCTGGAGAAAAGCAAATATTTTTTTAGGAGAACTTAACACATACATTTGGATTTGTAACCGGAGGAGGATTATTAATGGGACCCAACACAGCATTTCATTGAACTAAATTACCCGATTTAGTTCCCTATAAAGAGTTATGTATCCATCTTGATCAGATCAGTACGACGGATAATATTCAACTCGAAAGTCCTTCAACTCTGCTGAGAGCTATTCCAGTCAAAGATGAAAAATACAATAGCGGTAGAACGGAATCTTTCTCATCATTACAATATAAAAAATAAAGGTGGGGTATTATTTCAGGTCTCAAAATTTCTGTATTAGATTTAAAACATCAACCTGTACATGTAGGATACTTAAACGTAACACTCCATATTATAAATAATGGTTGATTCATTAGGCCCTGGATCGCATAACCTTAGACAATGTAATACAATTGCGCTTTCCTATCTCGGAGACACAGAAGGATTCGGTAAACCCGGGCCCGGTACCGATGGCAAGTTATACGCTTTACACTTACAAGATAATGTATACAAGCGGAAAGAAGTTACATTCACAGGTAATCTAGGTGATTTAAGCGATGTTGAGGTTAGTAGACTCAATAGAAACACTTCGTATAATCTTACTCACAACGATGATAATAAATCGACTGTGGTTGAAGAAAAATTCGATTGGCTATTGAATATCGTCATTACCCCACCGTATGTGATGATGGGTAAGGTACATAATCTAACTAAGATAATAAATGGTGGGATCGTACTTGGGGCTTATATCCCATCAAAACGAAAAAGGGTGTTAGTCGCTCCCCTGCCAGAAAACCCAGGTCATATGTTATTGAGTCGTCCGGCAGTAAAAAATGTTAGTTTAAATTTGGTTACTGAATTCAATGACATAAAGGATAACTTGATTGCTATACCTGCCCTTTCTACAATTATTATTGAAGTCTTGTTTGGAGATGCACCGGTAGATGCCTTCGAAATATTACCAGGTCTATCAATTTAAATGGCTCAAGCAACACGAGCATCGACGTTGCAGTATTATTTATATGGGAGTATCACCTGTTGCAACCCTTGAGGGGGTCCAAATTATTAAAGGTGATAGCATTTCTCTTACTAAGATATTTATGCCGTATAATATACATTTAATAAGGTCGATGTATACTCTCAAAACATTGAAGCAAGACCAACTAAAGACTATTATATGATATAATAATATACACTATGGGTTTATATCCGGCGCTCGATGAAGCATCTGAAAAGATGGATAGTGTTAATGGATTTCGATAACATCAAATAAGCGACATAAAACATCACATAGTGAAGGAGAGTTAGTTGAGACTTGGATTTATAAAAAGTATCGCAGAGCTGTGAATGCTCATGATGGAGTTGACACTGTGCTTGTAACAGCTGGCATGGGACTCGGTGTAGCCGGTGTTGGTTTATTATCAACTATAATCGCCACGCCTATCGTACTTGGCATGGAAATAGCTGCCGGAGTCTCAGGACTGGCAGGAATAGTGATAAAATTTATTTCTCGTAAGTTGCAAAAGAAAGCATTAAAACATGATAATATTCGGATACTCACCAAAGCAAAGTTGAACAGCATTGAGGATCATATTTCAACAGCACTAGCTGATTGTAAGATATCCAAGGAGGAGTTTTGTATAGTGTTGTCAGAACTCACCAAATAAAACGCAATGAAGCAGGAGATTCGATCAAAGACCAGTGGTATTAGTGAAGATGAGAAAAAAAGTTCGTAGAACAGGGGAGACAACAAGCGCGTCAATAATTCCGTGCCAAAACCAAAGAACTGGTTGGGGATTAAAAATAGATTGCTTGATATCGTTGGATCACATTTAAATGAATGCTTACATAAGTCTATAATAATGGAGCGAATCAAATGGCGAGAATTACCACAGGGTATATATTATATCAGTGATGTCAAACCAACCAAATACGGTCATCAATTGTTTCTTTCCACTTTAGAAAAAGAGTATATAGTCTGGTCTCCTAGTAAAATGAACAAAGAACTTAGTAAAAATGTTGAATATCACTTTGTTCAAAATAATGGTATGCGTATGAGTAAAAATAATAGAGAATATTTTCATTACAATTTAGTTTAATATCATGACGATCATTGAATCGCATCATCGTTTTGACATAAAAAATTCCCTCTGTAGTAGCAGTATAGGTATATAAATCTGGCTCCAGTGGGGTTGTGGCAGAATCACCATTACCAATACTACTCTCTTCTTGTGCAATGAATTCACCATTACAGTATAGTAAAATACTTTCACTTAATAATTAATTCCGAATAGTCTTAACTTAATTACCTCATATTTCGAATTTAATATTACATGTGATAAATAAGCGAAGTACATTACTGGTGCCTTGTTGAAAATATAACAATGATAACAAAGTTGCTGTAACCAGGGTACCTGCGGTACAGATACCTTGGGCTAAAGCCGGGCGTCACGGTACGTGCACCAAGTGAACAATGGCTGACGGCCGAGCGGACGTCGATCCGTAGCCTTTACTAAACGAGGTAACTGCAGATATTTACTTCAAGCTAATGATAATTAAACGTTTTAACACTAATCAAAACATCTGACGTTTAACAATTATAAGTAAATAACTTATAACATGAAAAAGAGTTTCTAAAAGAAATGCTGGAGATTCGCAGTATTGCACCTCTTATATATGAGAACGTTTGACGTTTACCAATTATAAGTAAATAACTTATAACATGAGGAAGAGTTTCTAAAATTGATGCTGGAGATTCGTAGTATTGTAACTCTTATATATGAGACTGCCACTGAAATGCTTGTATCTTTATAGTCCAGGCCCTTAGGGAGCTGTTAGGGGGATATCGTGCAGAGGTGTCTACAAGCATCAAATTTCGCCCAGGTGTAGACCAGAACATACTAAATTCACTTTTGGAGGGCGCCAAAGCCGGTGACCACTGGGGCCGCCATATTGGCAAAATCAAAGATGGCCGCCAGTCCTTATTGGATTTTGTCCTAACTTCATAACCAAAAATCATAGGATCATGAATGAAGGCTCTTTTTAAAGGTTTTTGACCTTAATGATTCCAAATCTGAGCTTTGTTTTGACATAGAAGTGCGTTTTGGCCAATTAAGTGATTTACTGGTATCCTCGTGATTTGTCCAGGATGGTGACCAGATACCACCGTCTTCCTTTTGACACCCCCATTCACTAAAGTCAGGGATTTCCTGGCGAACTGAGGCTGCTTGATTCCAGTAAAAGCTTGCCTAAAGCGGTGCCCTTTTTATATGTTCAAACATGGCTGCCTGAGTGGGTGGTGTATTCTCAGTTGTAAAAAGACGATGTCTGGCTTCGTTGACTTTAACCAAACCACACCCCTCACAAAACATGATAACTACAAATCGTTCCAGTTTCTGCATGTTAAGAGACTCAAGGCTGAACAGTTTTGGTTGATTGGTTCGAGTCACCAGTGTTTCGGTGAGTCCTGGTGTGTTTTGCCAAGATGACCAGTCAGTCTTCTTTCCACACTCAAGGAGCTGTGATGTGTCGCACCCTATAATGCAGTGGAAAAGCGGCAATGTCAGAGATCACGAAGGTCCAAGATAGGAAGAGATATCATTTTCCCGCTACCGAAACACACCTACAGCGTAGTGAAGACGCCACCACGTCACTATCAACAATACGAACATAAGCTGTCTGGTGGCCTTGTGCTACAGCATGTGCCAGATGAAGGAATATCTTGACAAGCTCCTCATTGAGGAAAGAAAATAACTCCTTTTCCTTATCCTAATTTAGGAGAAATCCACTGTTCCATTCAGGCTTTGGGGTTTGTGTTTGGCCATCCTCTGTCCTAGTCCATGGACCTGTATCGCGACCCTGATGTGTGAGGGATTTGAGGTTGTTTTCTGGGTTGTTATCCTCCATGGCATCTATACGTGCAACTGTTGCAGTTATCTGAGACTCCAGGAATGACACCATGGGTTGTGTAACATACTCAGCATATGTCTTCGCCGATTAGGGCTGCGCCATATGAACAACAGTTGCCATATCCTAAAATACTATGGCCATTTTGGCTGGATGTGCTCGACCAATTGGTGATTTGATGCATTCCAGAATATCAGACTTGTTGCCGAATCGAAGTGAACCACTATCATCTTGACCAAGCTGGGACTAATCTGCAATCTTTGTATTATTAGAAATGTAGATACCTTCTCCTGTGAATCGAAGAAGATTGAGAATATGCTCTTTAAACCATGTTGAATGTGGCTGCCTGGTATCCTGACAGGGACTTCCTTGTTATTCCATCAGTTTTCGGTACATCTGTCGAAGTCCTGATAGCTTATATATGGAGGCTTAATCCTCAACAAGGGCTACTGTTTGTG